GATATGATTGTATTTTGAAGCACCGAAACAGGTAAAGTCCTGAATCTTGGCTAGTACAATTAACTAAAGAAACCTTAAGGAGAAAGTTAAATTCACACCAAAATTTCAACTTCATCTGTTACACCATTGCTTGGGGGTAGATTCTGATGATTTTCACTTCCCTTTTTGCCCTTTAATCATAGAAGATTGTGAATTAACAGTTAATGGTGTGCTTCTTTGGTCAAATGAGCTCATGGTTTCATGTTTCATTCTTCCTTCTGTGTATTTGACATGTTAAATCAGTTTTGTATTTTGTGATATAATTTTGATTTTTTGTAGCATGCAATTAGCTGAGTATTTAAAATGATAATAATCAGACTTTGATTATTTTTATAATTGAGCAAAAAGATTATTTCTCAATAAATTAGTAAATTTTAATCAAGTCACAAAGAAGTTTTGTTTTCTTTTTTTCTTTTCAAAATTATATTTAAAAGCTCACTGGAAAAATCAAGTCAACATGGAAATTCTGGAAAAAATAAATTATCTGATTATACTTTTATCATCAGTTTTAAAAGTTCTCTCATAAGATTATGTTTCTCATGTAAATAACTGAAGATATGAAGTAGATTGTGAACACTTACCATACTGTTCTCCACTTGATAGTTTTTGTATGATCCAAAATTCTGATGAAATGATATATTTCAGATTCAGATTGGCATGATGCAATCATGTGTTAGAACATCCATCCAAGTAATCCAGCGATTTTGTCTGCTCCAATCCTGCATCAACATTCAACAATTTGAATGTCTTCACGTGCATTTGGCAAATTGGTAATTCAAATTTCCTCTACATTGTTTGCTACATCTTTAGGGCAAACTCTAGAAAGGCCTTATGTGTTTTGGATCAGTAATTGAACAAAGCCCTTAGGTGAAAAAGCCAATCTTAAATTTTTTGTCCCAAATAGCTGTTTTTTAAGCTTTGCTGGTTACTATTGATGACGTGGACAGTGAGTTGGACATAAATGATGACGATTCATTAACATGCGGGGTTTGGGGTGGGGACCATAGTAATAATAATGATTTAAATTTAGATTTAAAAAAAAAAAAAACTTTGTTGGATTCTAATTTTTCAATTTAAGAAGAATTCTCTCTCTCTCTTTTTTTTTTTTTTAGTGTTCGAGCACTACAAAAATTCTAATCAGGGATATTTATGTCATTTTTCAAGATTTTGTGTATATGATCTCCAAGCAAAAGTTCATCTTTATTCCATTCGAGTCATTGAACTTGTAATTGTACATCATAAGTTATGAAACAGTGATCGACAATAATGGATTTGAAGTGTCTTTTCAACAACAAATTAATTATTGTTGGAAAATTTTGTTATCATTTAATGACCTTAACCCATACTAAAATCAACCAAAAAATAACAATATTTTTGATGTTAATTTCTAAAACACAAGTAGTAATCGAAACCTCTTGGTGTGGATCACCATTCTCCTAAAATTTATGGATAATAATATACTACAAGGGTGCTTAAGTATGCAAAAATCTAGAAAATGTTACCTTTATTTGGACTAATTAGCTATTTTAACCAAGTGCATTTGGAATATTGGGTTGCTTTTTCCTACAACTTATGGAGACAATGCTCCTCCTGTGTGGCATGATTGAGTTCTAGTGTTAAATTACCTTAATTTAGATTTTAAAGGCTTTATTTTATTGTTGACAGCACACAGCTTTGTTTTTCTTGCATGTTTATTTTATTAAGACCACATATTCATTCCTTAAAAGCTTACTTGAACAAAATGCTTCATCACTATTATCTTATCTGTTGGTGGATTGGAGTTGGCATACAGAAAACCAATTGGAGGATTCTGTTGACACAAAGCCTGTATATTAGCTCTTACAATTAAAGCCTCTAAATTCTAAAGAATAGTGTATGTTGAGTTGGGAAGTATAGTATCATAGGTGATAAAACTTAGAAGTCTAGCTCTTGATAAAATGATCCTATTCAAAATAACATCATAGAGATTTTTGATCTAACTCAATGCAATGTTTATTAACTATCAAGTATTTTGTTTGAAACTATGCCTGATGATATTTGTTATTCTTTCTGTTGTTTTGCAGACGGATTTGATTCTTCTTCAAATATATATTAAAAAACTTGCTCTAAAACTAAAAGTATTTGAAGGTTGTCTCAAGTTTTCACATTAAAGAGGCATGTTCAATTTCCTCTCTTTTATTCATCAATTTTCAAGTTCTATCATAAGATCAGATTTCTCACGTATTTACATGTGTTCCTCTGTTGAGGCCTGATTAGAAACAATCTTCTGATGCTATATGTACAGAATCTATTAACACATGAAGTGAAGGGCGTTTTCGTCTACGTCGTAAATATTGGAGGTAAAACTTTCGATCTTCTCCCTTTTACTTGTGCTTTTGTGTCAGGAAAGCAGCCACCAGAATCCACATAATCCTCAACCTCACCCTCACGTGTTATACTCACAGGGTAACCAACTAGATGAGCACCCTCCATATCTATAACCTCATCCCCTGAATAAATCTCCCACATTTGCTCCCCAAACAAACGCATCATCACCACACATTCCAAACTTTCAGGATCCTGAAAAACTTGTTCAACTCTTCCCGTATGCTCATACCACAATGACATTCGGTAACCATGAACATCTCTTTTATCTGTCTTCTCTACATTCTCATCTTTTGATTGATAACATCCCACTGCAATCTCCGTGTCTCGTGTCCCATCCATGGATCGTTGGTTTATATTTGCAGATCCTATCAACATGTAACTATCATCCACTAAAAAAGTACAACAACAAAAGATTCTCATTAGCTTTATCCTTTATGACTATGAATCGATGAAACGTATTGATAAAATTAAGGTTACCTACCTATCATGAGTTTTGAATGTACATAAACCATGAACCTCCTATGTTTTTGAGCATTCCAATACTGTGTCCCGTGATGCGGGGAATAACGTGGGACATACTCTCCTTCCTTTTCCACTTCCCTATTACCAAGACAAAAGAAATTCAAGTAATCTTTCGGATGATACCCCTCACCACTATCCCTAATCGCGTCCCCAATCAAACCATACATCATCTTCATAGTCTCCCTTGTCCAATACAATATGTCTTGCACCGGTTCACTCTCCGGTACACCTTCCGGCCACATAGGTATCAAAATATACACTGCAAACCTCTCTTTCGCTTTAATCTTGCTCACCACCTTAAGTGCAATCTCAATCGGAATCAAATTCCTACACCCCGAATGTCGATCTTTCTCTTTCTCCCACAAATCACATCCCCCAATGAAATACTGATTCTCGATGTATATAAACCTCTCTGCTCGCCTAATCGCCTCCACATACGCGTCGTGTATGCTTCGTTCGATTGTAAAATTCTTCGCCACGTGGCAAACCGACACGTGGTCGATCGATCTAAACACTTGAACATTCCAATTCCTTTCGGTTATGGTAACCGACTCACGTCCCAAATCGGTTATTTTGTTAACCGGGACTAACAACGAAGGATCAAAATGTTTCACCCAACGTTGCTCGAAGTTACGCATGATGTCCCACGCTGCTTCACCGATAATACACGCGTGTGCATCGTGCCATGGCTCTCGTGGGCCCCCTCGGTCAACCTGTGCTCCGGATATACTCGTTTGGTAGAAATCCGTATTTGATTTTTGAAAAATCGAATGTTTTTCGGTATCGTATCGGCCATCGCAAAGATCGATTCCGCCTATAAAACTAGTTATTTCTCGTTTGCTTGAAGATGAGTGCCCACGCGTGTCCATTGTTATGGTTTTTTGATGATGTGTGAATAATGTTGGGAAGTTGTGGGCTAACCTAGGGCACAATTTGCATACCACTTTTGTGTTTTTGAAATAGGCGAAAGCGTCTTCGTCGTGGGTCCCCATTACTCCTTTGTTTTTTATAAATGGTAATGAAGTTTCGTCATCCCAAATCATGATCCTTACAGATACACCTTCTTCTGCTTTTCTTTTCAATATTTCACCTAATGATACTCCTTTTGCGTGTGGGATTTCCGTTTCGGAATCCCTAACCTGCATGATGTATAAATTTTCAATCTTTTTGTTAAAGGAACATTGTCAGGAATAGCAACGTATTTTCCTCAATGTACTTTATTTTTTACCTATAATAGCAACATACTATATTATTATACCCATAATAGCAAAGTACTTACATTGCTACCACTATGATCGATGTACTTCATCTGTTACATATTACTCTTGTCATAAAGAAATTCAAATATGTTGCTATTATGTGTAAGGAATTGTAAATACGTTGCTATTATGTGTAAAAAAATAAGTACGCCTATTATTGGTAAAAAATGTTAGTACGTTGCTATACTGATAAAAATAAAGTACATTGCGTATATTGGTAAAAAAAAAGTAAACTACGTTGCAATTTTTTCTTTTGCTTACCAGAATCATCTTAGGATTGAAAGACCACCCGGCGATATAAATCAAATATTTTGCATTTTCAATGGCTACAAAAACATCCTCCCAGAGTTTTCTTGGGGACCCACATGGTGGTTTGAAAGTAGGATGATGATGAGAGTCTTGATACAGGGTAACACCACATCTACCCCTCAGTGGAAATGTTGCATCTTTTACCCCATGAAATACATTTTTATCGATTATTTTTCGCCAATTTGGTTCAAGATATGCGGGTTTGAACCATAACATGAGTCTAAGATCTAATTCCGGATTTGGCTTCCCGTTTTCCATGCAAACTGGAAACAAACCATCGATTAGGCTTGACTCTTGTAACAATCGATCGGCTTGAATGTTGACTTTTCCAAGAATTGAGCATTTTGTCTTGAGGGTGATTGTGATTATTGCGTTTATTGAATGAGCACAAAGAACACGTATTGTTTGGTTCCAAATTCGGCTACTCTCGTGACGTGTTGATGCTATTTTTTGATGATTTATCTTGATGGTAACGTATGTCGGTTTTCCAGCTGGATTTATGCACTGTAAAAAAACACAGTTAAAAAAAAACGTAATGATGATAAAAAGGATAATAATGTATTCGTACATTAAGTAGAAATGGTGGTGAATAAGGTGTAGCGTGGAAGATGGTGGCTTCGAGTGTCCCATGAAGGAATTTTGGTTTTCCCTCCATTGAGTTGTTGCTGAATTGGTTTATAATGGAACTGATCTTTATAGAAAATTGGTAAAGTGGATATGTTATTGTTATAAAAATAAAAGATATGAAAGAAATTTTCAAAGCAATGATGAATTTTGAGTGGATGTACAGTTTTGGAAAACTTGTGGAAGTCTGTAGTTTAAATCTTAGAGGCAACCTTCATGCCTAATAGCGTAGCTTTCCCTTCAAGTTCAGGTTCTTAGAGCGTTTACTTATTAGTTATAATCACACCACTAGGACACGACACAAGTGTAAACAAATGAAATATACGAAAAAAAATTTCGTTGGATTTTCGGTTTATATATAGAAAATAAAGACATATATGGTCAGAACCAAATAAAATTACAATCAAAAGATGGGTAAAAACAAAGATAATTTCAATTGATCCCTATGGTTTGCAAAATTACATGAAAGGTCAATATAATATGCTGTTAAATCTAACTTTTCAGTTATTAGATTTTAATGAAAAAAACTATTTTATCATTGTATCAAATTTTATCAATGACTATTAGTGTAATTTTGTATATATACACTAGGTGTGAGATATGTGTATTACATGAGTTTATTAAAAATAAAAAATTTAATATCAATATGTAAACATTAAACATTTTATAAAGTAATTGAAAAAAAAATCAATGAGTATATATAATTGTAAATATTAAACATTAAACATTTATGTGAATTTATTATCAAATTAATAAAAAAAATAACCTTATATGAATAGAATGAGAACCTTTCATATATATAATCGTAAATTTTGGAAAATTTAAGAGGGTGTTTGGATAGGGAAAAAATAGGTTGCTTATTGCTTATTGCTTAATCCCACCGTAATAAACAAATTTAAGTTTTTGGATAGAAGTCTTTAAAAATCAGCTTATTGCGATAGGAATAAGCAAAATAAGCTGATTTTAATAAGCAAGAGGGGGAATGTTTATTGCTTATTAGTCATTTTACTCATATAAGCTGTTTTATTTTGCCAAACACTTAAATGCTTATTGCTTATTGCTTATTCTCACCGCAATAAGTTAATCCAAACACATTTTAAAAAAATGTTTATTCTAACCACAATAAGCAAATAAGTAATAAGCTAATAAACTAAATTTTTTTTATTCAAACACCCCTTAAGAATAAAAAACCTCAAAAAATGATAAATGGAAAATAAAAAAATGAAAAAAACCCAAAAAGTCATGTGACAAAATGAAGGAGAAGAAGACATATGAAAAAAAAAACTTTCATTTATTAGCGAGGATTTAAAAAACCAAAAAAATCCATGTAGCAAAATGAAGGAAAATAAAACATTCGATAAAAAAACATTCATTTATTAGAGAGGAAACATTGTAACAGTCAGTTATATTTTAATATTTTTATTTATTTTGATTCAAGTAAATGAAAAAAAAAAACTTCAATTTAAACTATTGTAACAATTTTTATTTATTTATTTATTTATTTTTTGTAGAGTTCGACTCTTATTATTATTTTGTTTTATTCTTTATTTCAGTCTATTATCAAATTGAAAAATATTATCTTGAATTTAAACTATTGATATCTCATATATAAATAAATTTTAATTTGCAAGTTACATTTAAAAAATATTAGTTAGTTTTCCTATTTTAATAATTATAAATCGTAAATATCACACAATGAAACATTAATTTTCAATAGACAAATTGTTTGATTTTTTTTTAATTTTATTTTTTCCTATAATATATAAAATAACCAAAAAAAATAAAAAAAGGACCAAAATTACTAATATAAATATAATTTTTTATTTACTTGAATCAAAATAATAAAAAGTTACAAAACCATAAATAACCAAAATTATAAATAAAAAATAAAAAACCAAAAAAACTCAAACACCAAAATTGTAATATACTTTAATATATTCATTCATACATTTTACACTTTTTGGAAAATGTCACAAAAGAATTATCAAATTAATGAAAGATAAAACGAAACAACGAAAAAAATTAAAAGTAAGAAAAAATTAAAAAAATAATACAAAAAAAATTCAAAAAATAATACGAAAAAATTAAAACAATACGAAGAAAAAAATAAAAAAATGATGAAAAGTGTAAAATGTATTAATATATTAGAGTATATTACAAATTTGTTGTTTGGGTTTTTGTTTTTTGTTTTTTATTTTTCATTACTTGAATTAAAATAAATAAAAACAATAGAATAATAATAAATAACTAAAATTATATATGTATAAAAAACAAAATGTGAAATAATGATAATGATAAATGTAAACATAAAGTTACTAACGATATTAACTATGAAACATCTAAGTAAAAAAATATGAATCGTAACGGCATAAAATTTTAAAAAAAACATTAATGCTTCAATTCACAAATAAATAAAATTAAAGACTAAACGGTTTCAACATGGTTTATCGAATTTAAGTTTATTTATTTGAATCAAAATAAATAAAAACATTAAAAAAAATAATAACTAAAATTATAAAATAAAAATAGAAAACAAAATGTCAAAAAGATAAAAAAAAAAATTTGTTAGATTGTTGAGATTATATATATATATATATATATATATATATATATATATATATATATATATATATATATATATAATTTTTGTATATATACAAAATTTCAAATTTAGAAAATTACACAAATGATCATTGAGGTTTGTAGTATATTGCAAATTGGTATAAAGGTACATAATCTTTTTAATTAAAATTTAAGAGTTGAAAAGTTATATTTAACATCAAGAGGATCTTTCATGTAGTTTTGCAAACAATATGATCAATGACGTGACGTTTTTCTTGAAATTCTTCAAAATGATATTTTGTAAACCACAAGGACCAATTATGAAATTTTGTTGAAGTATTAATTTGTTTGTTTGTGTGTGTGTGTTTTTTTTTCTCAAAACAACTAAATTATTTATTTAAGATTTAAGAATATTAAAAGATAGACGTAAAAATATTTAACATTCATCAACATATTAGAAAAAAAAATTAAGTTACAAATATAACATAAAATATAAAATTACAGATTTAGTGGGTTCAAAGTACATAATATTCAAGACTGTTAATCGTTTTGATGTGCTCAATCATATCGTTTTTTAGAGCGAGGTGAGTTTTGCTATCACGAAGTTGTTTCTTATTGGTCATATAACTCAATAACCTGGTAATTCGTTCGGTGGAGTATTCAAAAGGTTGTTTATCATCTTAAGTAGAGTTGTTTCATTGTTGTTGTTGGTTTGTATACATGTCATTTAGAAATTCGGTTGGATCATAATAATGTATGTGTCTTGTTCATCTTCTATGATCATATTATGGATGATGATACACGAAATCATAATTTTTCCCATAATATCCTTGTCCCACTAGACAAAGGCGTGGGAGAAATGCAAAATGAGTTTGTAAAACTCCAAATGCCCATCCAAAATCTAGGGTGGGTCCAGACGGTGGGCAACCCAAGCGACCGTCCAGGGCCCACGTCTCTAGATGATTCAAAATTTCTGGACAATGTAGTGTGTGTGATATATATATATATATATATATATATATATATATATATATATATATATATATATATATATATATATATATATATATATATATAATCTAAATGATTTTTAAGGCTTAAAGTTGGTTAAACTCAAACTAGTTCAAAACATAAACAATTTGGCTTGATTGTTATTGCTAATTGAACGCGTTTATAGTGAAGAATAAATAATTTTTTTTTTTAATCTTTATTATATTTGTCTTTAAAAGATCATTTTTTTTCTTTTCGTCCCTGGTCCCATATACGTTTAGACCGGCCCTGCCAAAATCTTTGACAAACTCTTCCCGTTTAACAAACAACCTCTCTTTTTGGATTTATGGAGTAGTTATTGACTTGATAAAGGCAATCCGTGAAGGATAAATGTCATCAATGAGATAATATGTCATATTACTTTCTCGATCATTCGCAAACTAACACACATTTGGTGCTCGGTTTGCCAATTGATCACTAAAAATAGTAGATCGATGGAGTATATTAATATTACTGCACAAACCTTGGGTTTTTAAGAATTTGTGCAATATCTATAAGTTACAAGGTGCAATGCTTCCAAGATGGTTGTTGTTTTACAGCTTCTACTTTCATATTGTCCAACCCAAGTTGTGGGACATTTTTTTCATTCCCAATGCACCTTGTCAATGCTTCCTACAATACTTAGAAATCCATATTCTTCCCTAAACATAGACAGAGAGTAGTTTTGTCAAATCATCTTGGTTTGACATTTTAAGGTACACTTTACCAAAGCATGAATGACACCTTTCTGGTAGGCACCAATTTATTTTAGCTCATTTTCACAATGTTATTTATAACAACCTCTCATTTGATCGTCTTTCCTGTTATCAACATTTCTTGGGTTTTTTACACGAGCTTCACTATGAAATTTCTTTATTCGTGCTCATGGTGATACTTTTTTTCTATATTTTTCCATGTATATTATTTTTACTAGCAATACACATAGTTGATATTAAAGCGATATCTTTAGCAACATTTCATTTATTGCTACACGGTTGTTTTATGAGGTTTGAAGATTTCCATAAACTTGATTTAGATTTGAAAAAAACTAGGAGTTTTCATAGTATTTGCTATTTACATGATCTTAAGAGCCATCGAGATTCAAATAAAAATTATTTGGAAATGAAGGATCCATGACATAACAAAAAATACAAAATCGAAAGAGACTAGGAAGGAAGAATCAAAATTAGATATGAATGTTTGTCAATATTATACTCTATTTATAAGGAAAAAATTATGAACTTAAATAGTTTTTTAATATCAGATAATTGTAGATTTTTTAGATAAAAATACGATCAAAAATATATATTTGGTCCAATTATAAAAAGCCTTGTGGAAATATGAATTATAATTATCCTTTTTATGTAATAAATTAATAGCATAACAAAAAACTTGATCTACAATTAGAGGGCTTGATTGTGAATTCAGTCGGATTGTATTGGACAATCTTCTTCTTGGTTTTAGCAATATTTTTTTTTAATATATCTTAACAGCCAACTAGACAAATATTCACCCACGGTGATAGTCTCATGTTGGGCGATTCTTGTTTGTTTGCTTATTCAAATATATAATTAATGTAATAAATATGAGTATGAAAATCATATTATCTGACTTGGATGAATAATGATGCTGTTTTTAAAATGAAAGAATATTGGAGGTTTTCAATCATTGGAATGAAGTCAATAAACTTAAGCAACTTTGGCCTAGTTAGACATATTTGATTCA